CCCCCGTAAAACAACCAAATCGCTACAGAAACTTCAACGAATAAATATATTAAAAATTCTAAAAACATAAGCAATAGCCTTACTTTTCGCTGGAATCGGGGAAGTGAAATGACTCAGGCTGGTGAAAGCTAGCCTTCGGGAAGCCAGTCAGCCGATGTGCCTTTGTCAATGTAGTTGAAGATTGAACGATCAATTCATGGTTGTTTGCTCAAAACCAACTTCCCTAATTTTCGCGGAGGCATCAATACGACAGTCATCGTCTCATCGGTCGCTGTTCAGAAAGAAGAGTAAAACATCGTCAGAAGTAATATTATGATTTATTATTGTAATATTTGTTCACAGACCTTAGTTCAGTTATTATTTTTATATGTTGGTGTAACAATAAAGAAATCTCAAGCGGCCAATCGGTGTTTTGGTTTTTTCGTCCGTTATACTAAGCGTTTCTGAAAACTTCAAGGAACAGCGTGGGCCCGAGCGTAGCAAGAGCTGGGCATTAACGGTTTATGAGACGTGACTGACAGCCTTCTTTCGATGAAAGCAAAAGTAAGGATGGGTACGTGGAATGTTCGTACAATGTACGAAACTGGAAAGGCTGCCCAGATAGCCGCTGGAATGAGAAGGTACAGAATAGAATTGTTGGGAATCTGCGAAAGCAGATGGAACGAAACTGGAAGGTGCCAACTACCAACTGCACAGACAATAATCTTTTCCGGCCACCCAGAGGACAACCACGAGCACACCGAGGGAGTGGCCATCATGATGTCACCAACAGTAGCCAAAGCTCTCATGCAGTGGGAACCAATCTCCTCCAGGATAATGACAGCCAGGTTCAACTCAAAAGGAAGGAAGGTTACAATCATTCAATACTATGCGCCTGCAAACGTCTCCAAACGAGAGAAGAAGGAGGCGTTCTACAGACAACTACAAATATTCATGTACAACGTCCCAAATGGCGATATCGAAATCCTGATGGGCGACATAAATGCACAGCTGGGTGGAGACAACACAAGAAGAGAACTCACCTTGGGTTGTTAGGCCCTCGGCGAATTGAGCGACTATGGTGAACTCTTCTCAGACTTCTGCGCCTTCAATGATTTGTTGATTGGTGGTAGTGTGTTCAAACACAAGGATATACACAAGACGACATGGATTTCACCAGATGGAAACACCAAAAACCAAACAGACTTCATCTCAATCTCAAGAAAGTGGAGACGGAGCCTACTCGACCCGAGGTCGAGGAGAGGGGCAGATGTGGGTTCAGACCACTATCTAGTAGAAGGGACTTTCAATGTGAAACTAAAAGCCCCGGGGATAGCTGGGGATAGGACACTATATTAGATAACCAAATCTCTATCCGGGAAGAGATCAACACAAGCGAAACCTATAAAAGACAGCCAAGGGAACCCAATCACCAAGGAAGAAAAACAGATTAAAAAATGGGCGGATCACTTCAAAGGACTCTTGAACCGGCCATTACCTGCAACCCGTCCAGAAATACCAACAACAGCGCACACACAACTGCAAGTTGACACCAATCCTCCAACGAGAGCTGAAGTCTTGAATGCAACCAAGCTTCTGAAAGCTGGAAAAACAGCCGGACCAGATGGAATACCCCCTGAAGCACTGAAAGTGAACCCAGAGACTACAGCAGACATGCTGACTCCATTATTGCAAAAGGTCTGGAAGGAGAGAAAGGTGCCTACTAACTGGAGGAAAGGTTACCTCGTGAAACTACCAAAGAAGGGCGACTTACGCCTCACTCTGCAAGAACTGGCGAGGAATCATGCTCCTATCGATGCCAAGTAAAGTCCTGAGTCGCGTCATCCTGAAGAGGATAAAGGGCGCACTGGATACAGAACTCCGACCAGAAAAGCTGGATTCAGGAAAGGCAAATCATGTACTGACCAAATCGCAACTCTGCGCATCATCATCACAGAACAAAACATGGAATGGCGATCAAAAGTCTACCTCAACTTTATAGACTTTGAGAAGGCCTTTGACAGCGTTGATCGCGAAGTAATTTGAAAATTACTTGAGTACTACGGCGTACCTAGAATATTCATCAACCTTACTCAACAGCCATACGGCAACGTCACATGTCAAGTGATCCACAACCGAAAACTCAGCGAGGCGTTTGGAGTAAACACAGGAGTCAGACAAGGGTGCATATTATCATCGATGATATTCCTAATTGTGATGGACTGGCTGCATTGTGCGTCAGACAGTTGGAAACGAGAAGACGGAGATATCTTGGACCGACGTGAAGAACCTAGAAGACCTGTATTTCGCGCGTGGATGATTTATGCTTGATATCACACACAATCGAAGACTTACGAGCGAAAACCGACAAACTGGTCGAAGAAGCAGCCGGCGAAGACAGGACTCCAAGTGAACTTAGACAAGACGGAGGTGATGAAAATAACCGACCAACAAACCACCAACAACAACAACAGCACAAACATCCAGGGCCTTTCACCATCAACGGGAGGGATTTGAAAGAGGTTACTTCATTCATTCTTTTATCTAGGGAGCATTGTCTCAACTACAGGTAGTCGGAACGGACGAAGATGGCATATCGAGCGAGAATCGGGAAGGCGAGAAACACATTCATCAACCTGAGACCAATCTGGGAATCTTCGTCACTCAGCCAACATCAACAACAGAATTTGGTCGGATTTTCAATGCAAACGTCAAGTCAGTCAGTTGTTCTATACGGATCAGAAACTTGGCGGGCGGCGGGTCACAAAGAATATTTCCAACAGGCTATTGCAGACCGTTATCAACAACTAACTGTCTTCGCTCTATACTAAGGATCAGATGTCCGGGCTGGAAAGAATCACTAAGAAGCTATGGGAACAAACAAAACAAGAACCAATCTCCCAACATATATGCAGGAGAAAGTGGAGATGGATCGGACACTCGCTTAGGAGGCCGCTGGGTGACAGCGCACGTCAAGCCCTCGAGTGGAACCCGAAAGGGAGGCAAATAGTGGGACGTCCAAGGGTGACATGGAGAAGATCGTGTGAAGAGGAGTTGAAAGAGTATGGACTGACATGGATGCAGATGAAAAGTACAGCAGAAGGAAGGCGAAAGCAAATGGTTACCAGTTTGTCAATGTAGTTGACAACTGAACGATCAATTCATGGTTGTTTGCTCAAATCCAACTTCCCTATATTTTCGCGCATACATCAATATACCAGTCATCGCCTCATCGGTCGCTGTTCAGAAGGAAGTCAGTTCAATACCGTCAGAAACCTTAGTTTTAAAGCTTAATTTTAAAGTTTGCTATATGTTGGTGTTACAATAAAGAATTCTCGAGTGGCCAATCGATGTTTTGGTTTTGCGTCCGTTATTACTAAGCGTTTCTGAAAAACTTCATGGAACAGCGTGAGTCCCAGCGTAGCAAGAGCTAGGCATTGACGGTTTACGAGACGTGGCTGGCAGTTTCTGACAGTGAAGTCAGTTTCTGGCGGTGGAAACAGATTCTGATGGATTCAGACAGTTGGCGACAGTTTGGATAGTCACCGTTCATCTTTCCTGGTGCCGGTCAAGTCCTCTTTCAAAAAGCAATATCTGGAACGTTTTTGTAATTGGTTCAAGTTCAACAATGCCTGGGTCAAAGAAGGGACAAAGCGTCTTGGATACAAACAGGAAAGTAAATCGTGGTGACTTGTCTGTTAATTGTAACGATGTGTCTGATGTTAAACATGACATGGTTGATGTTACTGTTTCGCCGTTCAGAGATAATAGGAACATTAAACTCCCTAAATTTGAACCACAGTGTTTCGACGGAAACCCAGACGAAAACTTCCATCGAATGACCTTGGCGGCCTGTTTGAACATTTTTGGGCTACCACACTCCATGTACATTTTGCACCTATTTACTCGTATTTTATTGGTATTTACATATCACATTATGCATTCTAATCGTATTATCCACTCCCGGGTTTTTATAAAACGTTTTAAACCCAAAAACTTTCATATTTGCAATAAACTCAAGAAAAAGCACCATGGAGGCTGGCAGCGTGCCTTAAAATCTACACCCATACGTCACACCACTGTTCCAGTTATCATAAGTACCAACTGCCGGTCCCTGCCTAATAAAATTCTGGATTTTCAGTCCCTGTTGTCATCCAGTACCTACCACAATACTGGTATTGTCACTCTACAAGAAACCTGGCTCCATGACTCATACGATGACAATATTGTGTCTCTAAACAATTTCAATGTTTTTCGACAAGACCGTGTTTGTTCCAAGAAAAAATGTGGCGGAGGTGTTGCAACTTTTATTCACTCAAAATGGTCCATTTCTAACAAAGTTTGTTTCAAATTCTCGAATGACTGCATTGATTGCATCACTGTGAGATGTCGCCCGAAACACCTGTCAAAATACAAATTCATTTATATTTCTAATATTTATGTCTCTCCTGGCTCTACCATATTGGATTTATCTATGTTCGCCGATGAATTCACCGCTTTTGCTGCAGCTTGTTTCGAGAACTCTTTATCAGTAGTAACTGGCGACTTCAATGGAAGCGATTGCTCCTTCCTTATATCACTTGGTCATGACAATATTGTTAACTTTGCCACCCGTCTTGGTAAAAAACTGGATCTAGTATTCATCAATGATGTTGGTATATATGAAGCTCGCAAACGTGCTCCTTTACTTAACTCTGACCACTGTATCATACGTGTACTGCCTAAAATATATTCCAAATAACACAAAGGTGTCCTCTCTCACCTCTACACTAAAGTTCAATGGAGATGCTACTCAAAAGACAGCCTAGACATGTTCAGATGCATGTTGAAAGACACTAACTGGGACTTATTTACAGAAAAAACATTAGGTGAAACAATCACAAACACTACCGATTATCTTAAATTCTGTTTCGAAATATGTTGTCCTAAAGAAACATTATTCATCCGATTCGATCGCTTATCTTCGCCATATCTCAAAAAGCTACGTAGAAATAAAGAACTGTTGTTCAAAACTAATGATAAGCCTGGTGTAAAAAAGTTAAACTTGCTGATAAAACTGGAAATGAAAAGACTAAGTGTTTTATATAATCAAAGATTTTTGTCATGTAAAACCCCTTCTAATTTATGGAAACTTTTCAAAGAAATTACTAACGGTAAGCGATGTATTTCTGTTCCATCTCTTAATGTTGACACTCTTAATAAATCTTTCATACGCTCTTCTGTTGATACCCTTCCAAATGATACAAATCATATTGACAATAACTTTAGTGGTTTTAATACCCTTGATGTGCTTAAATGTCTCCGGTCTCTTAAGCCTTCTCAAAGCCTTGGTCCTGACGGCATACCTGCCATTGTCCTCAGGAATTGTGCTGATATTTTGTGTTATCCCCTTACTAACATTTTTAATGCTTCTTTTTCCGGTAACGTTCTACCTTTTGCATGGAAAAACATTAAAATTATCCCTATAGCAAAACCATCTTCTGGTTCTGATATTAAATTTCGGCCTATTGCAATTACTTCCCCTTTTTGAAAAAGATGGAAAAATTACTTTTACTTCGTCTTGAACCCGCTTTGAAACCTTTTAATGATCCTAAACAATTTGCATACAAACATGGTAGAAGTACCTTGGATGCTGCGGTCGTCTTATATCACAATGTTGTCTCTTGTTTAGACAAAGGTGCTAAATATGTTCGTAGTGATTTCTTAGACTACACATCTGCTTTTGACTCTGTACCTAGGGGCCTTTTGTTAAATAAGCTATCGTTGACACAAACAGGATCCTGGGCAAAGAGTTGGTTGCATTCCTATTTTTCTGATAGAATGCAGTATACTGTATATAACGGCCAATCTTCTTATTATAATAATAATAATGTATATTCTCATATAACATATAAATTTACATGAAAATGCATGCCATTTTTACAGGCACGATCAAGTATGATATAATCCCAAATCGTAGATTGTCTACAAGTTAATTATGTTTCAACAGTTAAATATCTGATATTTATATAAATACACTCATTGTCTGAACTAGGCCGTATAGTTATTGAATTGTACAATTGTCCTCCAGGTTGAGCGGGAAAACTGACTTCGTTTCGTTTTCATCCCGTGGTTGTCGGCATACGATAACCAACCAATAGTGAGGTAAGTACAACGTTTACAGGGGATTGAAAGCTGTTTTAGAAAAGTAAAAGTGCTAAGGTGAATCAATAAAGTGTAATGAAATGGGTAAGTGCAAGTATCACTAATAAATGCATTAATAAAGGAAACTCCCTAGGCTGACAACGTTCGTTTGCAATGTATAATGCTTCCTGTACAGTCTGAACTATCATGGTGTCCACTTTTGGTTTTAATACATTTATCCTCATGCCAGCTTTTATTCTATACCTTTTTGTGCACTTGGTGCACAACCGTACCCTACAGAGAATAGGAATAGAATAAGTCGAATCAAATTCATAAAGAGCTATAAAATGTTAGGTTTAATGGAATATAATGAGGATCAAGTAAAGACGTTATTAGAAAATGAATCCGATAAGACATTGTGAAGTGGTATTTAAAGATCCGACAATGGATAGAAAGTTAATTTATAAGATGCCCCATAAATCTGTGCAGAGCCCATGTGGTCGCATCTCAACAATAGGCTGAGCGAATGGTATATATTTAAAGGCGGAAGCATGATCTGTCTAGGCGTTCATTATTATCTTTTTCAAGATAAAGATCTAAGCCCTCATAAAAATCAGAAATATCTCGAGCCTTCAAATTGTATATTGCTGTTCCTGCAGAATGGGGCGATTCACCTTAGTGACCACCACCATATCTACTGATCAGCTAACGCCACCCTCCCTCCTCTTCTACCTCGCTTACAAAATCCGGTGTTCCACAAGCTGCTGTCCTCTCTCCTTTTCTTTTTTCTTTCTTCCTACATGACCTGCCTCATTGAAACGAAACTAACTTTGTCAAATATGCAGATGATCTGACTGTATCACTGCCTATCACTTCTGAGTCTGACAGCTCCAAACTTAATAGCTTTCTGTTGGACATCAACAACTGGTCCAAGTCAAATGGTCTTATATTAAATCCTTCCAAATGTCAGGCACTTGACTTTACTTTCAAGCATCGACGTGACTTACTTGAACTAGTTAGCTCGCATGATCCCTATAGCATAGATGGCACGGAAATTGAAACCAAGTCAAGCATTAAATACCTTGGGTTTGTTCTTTCCTCTGACCTTTCATGGTCATCCCACATCTTATCTATCTCTAAGAAAATGTTTCGTCTTACCTTCTACATTAAAAAGTTAAGACAATCAGGTGTCAACCAACCTTTAGTTTTGCAATTTTTAAACTCCTGTATTTTACCTATTGTACTCTATTGCTCTCCATTAATCTTTCCTGTGCTTCTCAAAAAAGACTATATCATATTACGAAGAGTATTAAATGCTGTGAGTAGAGCTTGTGGTCTGCCACTGCATGAGCTCGCAAATACTATAGTCGACAGGCATATAAATGGGCAAAGACTATACTGTCAGACCCTCTGCACCCCCTTTATTCACAACTATCCCCTTGTATCTCGTCAGGTAGGACGAGAAGTCAATATAAAAAGTCATATGCTCGTACCACTAAGTATAGAAATTCTACAATACCCTATTTAGCCCGTACTTTATGTGACAAAGACTCATTTAGACGTGAAACACATAAGCTACTATGTAATTAGCACAGTGAATCGACCCTTTCATTGTTCATCTTTCTGTATTTTATGGTGTCACACTTTCTATCGTTTAATCATACATCTGCTATTTCATTTTAGTTGGTATTACTATTATTACTACAATTTTGTACTTTATGCATATTTTTCTCCGTATTGCATACGGTATTTTGCTATGTAGCTGCTATAACATTCGTTTTTTATTATTATTATGTAATGTGTATTTTTAAATTTTTTTGTCGTTCTGAGTAAATTAGATGCAATATTGTACAGAATTCTGAAAATTCCTTGCTGTATCATTAATACAGTTTTTGGAACAAAGCAAAATTATTATTATTATTTGCAGTTTGTAAGGGAATTCGAAATCATGTTGAGTGGTTTTTTATTAACTGATGAAATGAAGTTAACGTATTTGATGAGGTATTGCACTGGAATTGCTGCAAGAGCTATACATTGCTGTAAGTTTATGAAGCCAAAAGAGGGCTACTACGAGGCTATGAGCATACTACGTCAGAGGTTTGGAAGACTTTCGATGATTGTAGGGAAATTATTCGAGGCTGTTAAGGGTAATGGTGGTCAATTACAGGATGACTACCAGGCACTCACTGAGATTTTGGATAATCTTATGACTTATAAGAATGCATTGATTTCGATGAATTGCATGAGTGACCTCAACTCGAGTTTTATACTAGAAGTAATAGCAAGACGCCTACCTACTCGACTGCAAAGGAAGTGGGTGAAGATAAGCTCCCGTATGGAGGATGAGGGTATCGAGCCAAAGTTCGACGATATTCTGAAACTGGTAAAAGATAGTGTCAATCAATCTATGAGCGAGTTTGCCAGTATATTGAATCTCACCCCTAGAATAGAGCAGTCTGAGGGAAAAACGCAATCATTGATGACGAGTAGGCCTCAGAGAGGTGGATATCGAGAGGGCCCCATGATGTCTAGTAATGCATATAGACCTAGTGAGTGTAACAGGTTTCGTAGTACATCCTCAACAGATAAGTTACAAGATGCAAGACAAACGCGGTTGTGTTTTACACGTTTGCAAGAGGCGCATACAGAGGTGAACTGTGAATCAGTGAGCAAGTTCAGTGATAAGCTAAATGTAAATTCCAGGCCTGACTCCGAATTGTGTGACGATAACTGTGCGGTCAAGAGGTCTGTAGTTACAACTGGTAAGCCATTGTCAAATAGAGTGTCACAGAATAGAGTTACAGCTTCAGAGGACAGTTTTGACTCCACAAGTTTACAAGGTATTACTAGTCAGAGTGAAGGTATAAAATCTTTAGGGATTTGTGAGGAAAAACCCAAATTGTCTACTGCTGTTATTAAAGAGTTTGAAATCGATGAAGTCGACCAGATAGATGATAGTAAATTGAATATTTGTGATAATGATCATGATAGTGCAGATTTGTCTTTGGTTGATCATGATGAAATGGAGGGAATGCCTACTACTGCTAGGTTGAATAAAGGTTCTGTACAACGACAACGTGAAGTTGAATTGAATGCAGTTGCAGAAGGTATGGATACTTGTGAAACCGTCAGTGTAATTGATCAGCGTGTAGCCCACCTATCATCAGATGATAGTGCTAAACCCAAACTAGTAGTGAAAGACAGCAGTGGTGGTAATATTGCAGTTAGACAACTATCTGAAGGCCGAACAACAACAGCTTCTGATCCACCGCTAAGTTCATCAACTGGTACCAATCAGTTGTCGTTGGTGTTGTCATCCACAATGAGAAGGATGCCCATCAACTCAAGTATCTTGTGCAATGACTATGATAGTATTGGTGCATTTGAAAAGACGAAAGATATTGCTCAGTTTAGTGAGGATAAGCCAAGTGTGTACGAGAGGGTAATTGTTAAATTGACTTGCATGAATAAAGGCATTTATAGTTTCAAGTTACTATTTGAATGCTATTATCTTTGGTGTAAATTACTGTGTGCCTACGCTTGGTTGACCAGATACGTCGTGTGTTTGTTCGTCATCTATATTTTACGATACAATGACATGGGCGTGTTACCGTTCAGATTTGAGGATATAGCTGATAGAGGGAAGTCAGCAAATAAACTCTGCGACGATTTTCCAACCAAGAGCGTCAACCTGAGAAGGGTTGTAAGCGTACTGCTGTAAGTCCTGCAATTCTTCAAAGGGTAGCGCATCAATGAGCAGTCCAATGTGCTTGGTGTGTGATTTTGTACATATGTTCGTATTGTATATACTGAATCGATATCATCTGTCATCTAGCTGTTGGTAATTCTGTTTGTGTCCGGACGACTTCCACTTGGATCATCAACCTGAGAAGGAATGTAGGCGTACTGCTGTAAGTCCTACATTTCTTCAAGGGTAGTTTGTCGTACCAGAATCTACCACATTTGATGTGTTGATTGTACATATGTTTGTGTTAATTAATTGTGTGAGTTCCAATTATTGTAATTGTGATTAATCTTGTGTGCGTCCGGACATTCCACAACTTACAATCGTCAACCTGTGAAGGGTTGTAGGCGTACTGGTGTAAGTCCTGCGATTCTTCAAAGGAATTCCATCAACACATGGTCCGCGAGTTTGTGTGTACTGTTTGTGTATACGTGTGGTGTGTCATATCAATTTGTGATTTTGGATTAATTGTGTTTACTCGTTGTTTTCGTACTTTAATGTTATTGCATAATTTTGTTAAAATTTTCGTCGTGATTACTTCTGAAGTTGTTTCGAGTTTTCTACATCCGTGAATGAATTGAGTGATGTTAAAGACAGCAGATG